TGTATATGTATAATATCTATTCAAAGTCAAGGGTTGTTCATGATTAATTTATTGACCATGTTAAGATAAAGTAAGTTGAATGTGAAATTTCTTTGTAATTGCAGCGAGACGAATGATATGAACACAGGCCTTCTGGTCGAAGTCTGGTGCAAGGGTTTCCTGTGGGATCGTTTCTTGGGCTACTATTACGTCCCATTGTCCGAAGTATCTTACATGAATGAGGTAACGTCTAAGCAGTCCTATAATACATCCACCGACACGGTATCGGCAGGGAAACAAGAGCAACAACACATATCCTCTGACAGCATGCCCGACACGAACAGCAATGCACAGCCACTACCAGACATCACCAACACGGTACACTAATTGATACATGCAGCTAGACTAGACTTTGCTGTCTTAGCTAGCGCACTGTTGTAGATTCTGTAGATTAATTCCTAAACATGCATGCCAACCAGTTGTCATATTTCTAAACGTTCCCGCAGTAAAATCACGATTACACTCCCATCGTGCGCTGGGCGTGCTCCACATTATTTGGAGATCGATTAGAAGCTGTGTATGCACATATATTATTAATCACAATTATTCGGTCATTTCATATAAAACGTAATTATACGAGATTTCATGAATGTGATACAAAATTATAAAAGTATCAGACATTCTTACGATCGATAAGATTTATACATTAAGAACTTTCCTGAATTCTTCTTGATCGTTGGTACGAATTTGGAAGTATAAATTAATTTGTAATTATTTTAAATCTTAATTAATTAATTAATTTTGTACTGGCATTACAGGTATTACATTCTTCCCGTTCATATAGTTCCGTATGACAATTAATTTAGAATTTTTTTTATATTGTCAATGAGAATATTTAAATTTTCAATTTTATAATATCTTTTTTTGGTATGGGTGTTCTTTGGAAATTGATTACTTTATTTGGAAATCTAGGGAATAAAGAATGCGTATCGATATTGATGGTCTGCAGGTCTTCAACTGCTTCCTTTCATCTTTCTCTTCAATGATCTCGTTTCTCTTTACCGAAAGTCAGAGAGTTCGTCACGTATTTACACGTCACTACGAATTGAAACCAATCTCTGGATTAGAACGTCGCTTTGCTAAAAGCGTCACGAATTCTTTATTCGAATCCCTCCACCTAGTTATTTATCTGATGGTCTTGTCGTAAATGACGTGCGGGATCGCGCTCCATTAAGCGTAAATTTTACTCGATTTCGTGCTACACAGAGGAAAGGAAAAAATAAAGCGTGACAAAAACAGGGACACGAAAGACTTGGCCGTCGTGACATATTTCTATAGCCTCGCGTGAGTGTCAGTGATTGAGGAAGCTATTCGTAATAAAGAAAAGGAGAACTGTCATTAGTTGTTCAGCGCTTTATTTAAATATTTCTATTGATGAATCAGATGGAATTTCCCTACCTATAATTCTTAAATTGCACGAAAATTGTATGGAGATTTGGCTGCATATGAAAACAATGGAATCGTCGTCTACCTACGTATTTTCTGGAAACAATGGATTCTTTCTCTACCTACAAAATTCACCAAAGGAAACTTTGATTCAATAAGTAGAAAGTTAATACATACTGTTCTATTTGATGGAGTCTGTTACCATATGTATGTACGAAGTTTTTCTTGTACAATACACTTTCCATGATTCAAAATTCATTCTCCTGAAGAAACAATTCTGAAATAACGCTTGATACATAGAAAAAGTGCTAATAATTGTTTCAAATCACTGACTTGCGTCATTCGTGTTGCCGCGTTATCAGACATAGTTGTGAAATGTTCCCAGTTGTTTCGGAACGATCTCGGGGGAGATCGATAAAGCGAAATGCCACGCCAGGAATATAGGCGGAGTGTACGCGAAGAAATGTAACGATATTATGTATGTCAATCGTCATTCTGCGTACTGCTTGATTCGCTCGTGTTTGTTTCGCGTGGAAAACGTGTTGATCCATTCCCGATCGTCCAAATACTATGCATGGCATCGAGTGGATCATCGAAACCGGCTTGATATTCTCCGGGCTCGCGCAAGCCAACCCCGTGCATGCCGTGGCTATCGTGGCTTGGCGCGGTGGCGTACGTGAAATGAAACTGAAACGAGTGTTTACACATCGAGCGAACCCGCCGAATCAATTGACGCCACCGGGCCGCATCGCATCGCGTCGCCGGTTCTACACAGTATTGGAAGTGTGTAACGAGTTTTGGGTTAGCCTTCATTATGCCGTCAATGCGCCGAGCTGGTTTCTCTTGTCCATCGGTCCAAGCCGGTTAATAATACAATTATCGGTGCTCACCGCCCGTGTTTATGCACAACTCCGTTTGTAGTAGTCGTGTCATCGGCGAGACAACGAAATGGCATTATGACATGTTAAAACTCTTTACTAGAAGGAAACTACCGGTTTTCGTCTTCCGGAAATTAATTTGATTAGTTCCGAGAAAAATACCTTCGTTCGAATCAAGGCCGAATCGATGTCTAATCCTATTCCGATGTAAAATGTGTATACATATAGTCGCGTATAAACGGTTTGATTAGAGAAGATCGGGGATTTTCTTAATACCATTTTATTCCAAGAGCATACGATTCTTCGGTAATTCGAAACGGAAGATAACATCTGATCCGATCTACTTTGCTCCTTCGGATTCTCTTATCTCCTATCTGATATTGACGGTTGTAGCGTTTCTTGTTAATTCGATATAGAGATACGATGTGATCGCAGACATGGATACACGAGTTTCAGACGTAAAACACAATTTCGTATTTCATATCCTTCTTCCCTTTAAAATTAATCAATTGGCGATGAGAACGCCAGATAGATAAAGAACACGTAATGAGAAATTGAGAAATCTTGTTTACTATTAGAGTAGTTTAATTTAAAAGACTACAATAGTTTAAATAATTGTCCTTTTCACCGATAAAATTCATGTTAACTTATCATATAATGTATTACTGATGAATAGACGGATGTTTATGCATATTCCTGTTTTTATGAATAAAAGTAAAAAACGGTCGTTTTCTTCTTTAAATACTATAAATTATATATTATTTCATATATTTTGGATTTCTTTACGTATGTATTACTACATACTTGCTGTTGCTTTGAATTATTTGAAATTCTTATAAATGTATGAACATTCGTTGTCTACTAATGAAACACTCTGTAGATCTGATGCGTAAGGTTGGTTTCAGTAATAGATGTTAGGATATTGAAGTCATTCTGCAGGAGGGAAATTTCGATTTCGAGAACATCGTGTATTCATTAGCCTGGCTTTCACACTGAGTGACACAGGTGAACTCCGATAGCTACGAGAGGCAGCTTACAATAAGCCATTATTATCGATCCCAGAATTAGACACACATCGCGTTAATGTCGTGGCACGTGCGAACCTATCGGGCGTCAATCAGGACGCTCTTTCTGTTCCTTTCACGTAGGAAGACGGAAAGCTTCCGGTCTCTCGTCACAACAATCGAGAGCATAATGCGGAAAATCAGTCACTGAGGGCGAATCGCGATCGAAGTTTCATGATGAAGCAAAAAGTTGAACTCGTAAAAGGAACGAAGTGTCTGCGCGCGAAAGGTTCTGTTTGCGGTCGCGGAAACTCGGTCTCTTTCATTGTTCTTCAACTGAAAATATCGGATCTTTGTTCGGGCTGCTGATCGATTCGATATTATTCGTTTCTGTGGAAGGAAACCGCTCGTTTTCGTAGAAAATCGAATGGCCGTTTAATTAACGTCGGAAAAGTGGGAAAACCGTGCCCGACGATGGCCTCGACGATTCAAGCTCGAACGTTTTCCTCGTGGATTTACAATTCATGTTATGCTAATCGGTTGCCATTAATAATTGGCAGCGAATGTTAGCGACGCTTGGAAATGTACATAATTTCATTTATCGTTCGTTTCCTCGGCCGTTTATTCGCCCTATACGAAGTACGTGTACCACACGGCTCGGGAACTTGATATCCATTTGCATAAAAAATAAGTATGCTGCTGACTATAATTAGAAAATTGTCTTCCAAAATATTAATTCTCATGCTCACTGTTTATTGGAGTGGTAGCAGGAAAGTCAGTTTCAATCAATAATTCAATACTTGAACGTATTGATAATACGACAATTTTATGATTTTTATTTCTGGAACATTTTAATATTTTTCTTTGTAACAAAAATGTGAAAATTTGTGTGAAATCTATAGTGTAATTAAGCTTACTTTACGAATCTGGAAACTGTGTTTTCTAAACCCGCGAGATATTTTCCTAAGAAGAGGATCCTGTGCCTAAGAATTCCTTTATCATTCGTTCGTTCTCCATTTGTGAGATACGGGCCAGTGCACTTTCATACGGCGATAAAAGGGAATTCATGCTAATTAAATTGGACGTCTTCTTTATCTAAGAGAAACTTAACAGGGAAAACGAGGGCGTAGCTATTCTTATATCCGACAGAAGTATTTTTTTCCCTTTTTGTAATTTAAATTAGCACGTTTATCTCAAAAGACTTTTTCTATTTTGTGCAATTTCATTTATCGTTTAATCCGCTTTTTCTTTCTTTATGACAAATTCAGAACACTGTAATTGAGTAAGTGTGTATAATCAAATTAATCAGTTCAAATAAAAGTAGCTTCATAGCTTTTTGGATTGCTGTACGTATATAGAGATCAGATCTTTGCTACTATACGTATATTTGTATATAAATATATGATATATTATTGATACATATTTGTGATGTTGACTGCATTGATTTTATACTGATCGATGTGGCAACTACTCATTAAATGAATCTCAAATCATCCTGTAATAACCCAGCAAAGTTAATTTATAGTGACCACAGAGAATGGCCAAGTGAGCATGGAAGGGTGTGAAACAAAGGAAAGTGAAAACCGGGAAGGCCCCGTTTGGTTTTTCCACACGAAGTGCACCAAGTGCATCTTATCTTTCGATGGAGGGTCGAACAAATTAAATTAGAGGGCAACCTTACCTCGGATAGGTCAGAGCAGGTTAGAAGTGCAATTCGGTCACGTGTGAGAGACCCCAGAGCCTCCCTCTTCTTTATATATACATTCGAATACTCGTCGCCGTCGCCCTTTGGCTACCTGGCACACAACCCCTCTCGGACAGATTTGTCGTAATCTTCTTGTAAGTGTTCGAGCAAACGATAGGCTTTAATCTCCCTATACATCAACGTTTCATTGTCTGCCTGTGCATTCCCCTTTTCATATATGTTTAAAATGTTTCTGATTTATAATGGGACAATGTTAAATATAATCGAGAGGAAAAGTTAAATGATTTCTTTTCTCTTTGTCGTTCTATCGTTCAGGCTAAATTCGGTTGAGACAAAAAGAACAAA